GGTTTCTGCAGACTTGCTCAAAATACAGAATTGGTATGTACAATGAATATGCACATGTAGTCAATATTCCCAAGCACTGGACGAATCGTTTCAAAGTAACAAGCCTTACCTGATCTCCCACACAATATTTTCCTGATGTGTTCAGCAGGATCTTCTCCAAATCTATTTACAAAACACAACTTAGAGTGAAAATTAAATATTGTAAACCTAAATACACATAACTTTACAATACTATAAACCTTTAAAACTTAACCTGTAAATGTTAAATATAGATTAAAAAATTACATGTACACAACTTAGAAGTTAAGAAAAAATGGGAATAAAAGATATCGAAGGGAAGACCTGAGTTTGCACTCACTATGAAATCCCTTGTTGATCCAGTGATGTCCCCACTCAGCTTTCCTCTCATCACCAAGGTACTCCAGGACAGAAAGGTTTTGGATCGGTTGTATTCCACTAGCTATGGTATGGCTGACTTGCCTTACCTGAAAAGAGATTTAAACAAGAAATTAAACATCAGCTAAGACAAAACAAATAGTTCAACAACATAATCAAGTTCTCTGCACCATAAAGATTATTTGTACATTACTATTTATGAAATTAAAAGTTTTTCTGAAAACAAAGTCTGTCAACAACAAAATCTGCCATTGTCTGCCATATTCTTGGTTTTCACCAGTCATGTGATCAAAACTAAACATCGTAACCATTCAATAAATAAATTCAGCAATCTGGGATATGATAGATGATTGCTATATAAACAACCTCGTCAAGAAACAGGTTTCTGCTGTGTTTCATTCGCCCATTATTCGCAGAAGTGTGTCACCCAAATTAATTGAGCTTTGTATGGAGACGCCATGTTTGTGCCCTTTGGAGGGGCACAAACATGGCGGCAATAAAATAACAAAAACATCTGTCATTGAGTTTTGCTATTGAAACGAAAATTTTTACTCGAGCTCCAACACATTAAAATAAATGCTTCTTCTAGTGCAGGCACCATTTATTTCGCAAAAACTAAGGCGATAACTCATCTTTTGACCTACGCAACAGTCTTTTCAGGCCGCCATTTTCATGTCGCACAATGCAAAAGCTTGGAGTGCTCCATTACAAAAAGAAGAACTCTGTAGAGCTAGAACATTGTTAAATGTCACATTCCTTTCGGGTCTTTTATCTGATGAAACTAAAACCTCAGAAGGAAAGATTATTTCTAATTTTGGAATATGACTAGATCACATGAAAAACAAGAATTGAGGTTGAACTACGGTGCCTGAAGAAGAGCAGTAAAACTGCTCAAAACATTGTGTTTTAAAAACATTTTAACCTCAGAAAAGTCCCATGCAGAACAAGGTTCACTTTATTTATTTTATTATGAAACTGTTCAGTTGATAATGGAAATATGTGACAAGGTTTTTGGTTTTATGGGGAGAACAACCCAAGAGGCCCACATTAGTCACAAGAGGAGAATGTGCATTTAAAAAAGGGCTGTGATTTTCATTTCCTTACGGCTCAGTTAACTTACAGGTCTATCAGTAATTGTGCACTATAAACAGGCAAACACACTTGTAAACAAACTAATAAAAAGAAAATTAGAATTAAAATAAATATACATGTATATAAACAACCCTTTATACCAGGGCTCTTTTGTATGGATCATCTCTGGGAAATAGTGGAGGATCCGGTCTTGTCTCATCCAGATATTCCATAATACTCAGCTGCAAATATTGATCAATAAAGATTAATATGATAATGTAGCAAAGAGAGAAGAAAATTAAGCTCAGTTTTGTTATGGGCACATGTACATTATTTTTTAAACACAGCCATATGTAAAATAAATTTTAAACCCTTAGATTGCTCCATCAATTGTACACTAGCCATTACGTTAAAATGTGGGAGGCACGGTGGCATCATGGTTGGTGCGCTCGTCTCTAGATCGAGCAGTCCGGGTTCGACCCCTGCCCGGGGACATTGTGCTGTGTTCTTGGGCAAGACACTTTACTCTCACAGTGCCTCTCTCCACCCAGGTGTANGAAGAACAAATAAATCAAACCATTTAATCAAATGAAAACCACAAAGAAAATATACATTATATTATACAGATGAATTTTACTCACTTGTCTAAAGATGAAGTCACTTTGAGACATTGATCGTGACGTTTTGACTGCTATACTGCTAGTCTTGATCAATGAGACTCCATCGTGAGACAAACAAGTAAAATTCATCTGTCCTATCTTACACCACAATGAATAATAGACACATCTTTAATGACACAAAATATATATTTATACCAACATTCTTGTACATCATCATTACAATATTGTTGTGTAACTCTAATTACCATAGTCTGTTAGTGTAACAAAATGAAACCAGTTACTTACAGAATCAGCCAATGTGTGGCCATCAATAACTAATGCAGGAACTTGACCCATGGGATTTAACTTCTTGTAGCCATCTGCCAGCTAGGGAAAGAAAATCCAAAAAACAAAACATATTATTAAACCACAGATGATTCAGAAGATCTTAAAGGGAAGATCCACAGGTCAAAAATGATTTGATCTACTGGTAAGCAGTTCTTTTCAAAGCTGGTTGGAAATCACTTGGGAAGCACTTTAAATGTAGGTATATCAATTGACATTATTAATTTGGCTGGTGGAAGCAATTAATTTGATGGCTTTACACAGCATTTTTTTTTTTTTAAATATGGCATTCCTATTCAGTAATACAGACCTGAACATGTGATATCCAGTTAGTGATAACTAAATGTAATAATATTGATTATATAATACACTCATGTACATGTACATGTCTGGAAAACTACACAATGTAGTCTTGACAGAGGTAAATCCGAGCATTTTGATTGGTTCTGTCAAGGTCCGGATTTTTCCATATGGACAATTTCCATACAAGTGGTTAATATTAAGCTGCGTGCTTCTCTTATGGAAAGACAGCAAGTGTCACTGAGGAATTAATATACTGGCACTAGGTTGTTTTGTACGGACCTCGCTGTGCTCAATCCACAACATCGGACCAATATTAATTCCCCAGTACAGCCCTCACCCTCGGTTAGTAAGAGTATAAATATTGTCTACATTCAATACGCCTGCAAGGCATGCAAAAGTCAATACTTTGCATGTACTGTGTGCCTAATTTGCAAGTGAAACTAACTGCCACATTTAATATTTTACAGCGTAAATTGAAACTCACTCACCTGTTGGCCACCATCTTTCAGCAAGTGAACTGGGTGTGTTTCATACTCAATTCCTTTCAAGGCTAGAGCTGAAGGCAAATGACATGCACCACTGAGTAGGTCAACCAATAGTGCAGTGAAGAGAAGATTACCAAGTAACATAATTACATGTATATGAGCAGACTAGATATTCTTTGGCAAAATTCTGACAATACAAAATATTAATATGTCGGAGTGGTGGTCGATCAAATCTTCTGCTTATTATGGAATTTCAGCTAGTAAATCAGAGTTGACTGCCTATTTTCTTTGTAGTTGATAATAACTTTACATGTAAGTACTATTAGTAGCATTGTTATGAACATGACTTTGAATGAAGTCACAACCCAAGACATAATAATTTTTCATTAACAGAGAACTAAAACCAATTATACAGTATTGTAATAAAATTATCATATATAAGTACACTGAAACAAGTGTTATATAATGAATCACACATGCACAAGGTTGTGATGTAAAATTGAAAAGTCTCGCAGACCTTCTCATTATGCCTTGAAATATCAGTTAAAACTACTGTAGCTAGTCACTTTGCCATCTCTTCATCAATTCACCTAATATCTTCATCTCATTGTTCTAGTATCACTCATTTTGTTGTACAAGCAAAGGTACATGTACTTCCTATAGTTTAGACATTCTTTGGACAAAAATGCAGCACAATTACCATGAAAACACCCATCTACTTACAAGCGGTCACAAAACAGTGCACATGTAATTCAAACACCATAGCTTTTGTAAACTTATAAAAAATGGTTTCACCTCATCCATTCACAATGTACATACCTGTTCTAACCCTCCAAGAGCAGGAACTTCTGAAATAGGAATACAACACTGGCTGTGAACAGGAGTCAAAATCAGTCAGTATCATTGAGTTTCTTAGTACAAAAATAAAAACTTAATATTTAGATTGACTTGGAAAACCTGATCATCACAAAAGAAATATTAAGAATTAAATTGTTTCATGACCAAGGAAATCTGCTAGCCTCACATTATTTCATGAAGCCTGATCCATATGGTGAATCAGCATATTTAGAAATCCCATGATATATCAAAAGGCGCAATCATCAACTACGATCCTTTCACAGAGACAAGTTCATTGAGCTTAAGCCAGACAATGAAGCCTATAGAAACTCGTTTTATTGTAGAACCATCAAAGAATGGAACTCATGATTGCCAAGCTAGCAGTGTTTTCGATATAACAAAAACTTCATTATTTAAGATAGCACTTTATTTAGCATAATTAAATTATAGCTACAGGGGGCAGTAAATCTGTACTGCACTGGCCAAACAGCTATTTCAGCCAATACCACCGTCTTGACAATTGCGACTTTTGAACTGCTAGTGATAGTCCCTTATTTCATTTTGGTCTGTGGCAACACACGGAATCTCACAGTTGTAGTCCCATTATTTGCAAGTCAGTGATCAGATCGAATAACCTCTTCTCAAGTTGAAAATCGGAAATGAGCACCCATGCCGTCTTCAAAAATATGATTAACTCGGAGAAAAGTCTGCACTTAAGCTAGTCCTGAACAAAACAAAAGGGGGATCTGGGATATCATCAAAGAACAGAGAACAAAGGACACCGACTACTGGTTCAGTAGAGAACCTGCTGCCGTTTTATACTCAAAAGGTGAGAGAAAAAAAAGGCACTATAAACCACGAGCAGTCTCGTATCCCCCTTCCCTGGATCCGTAGAGGATCAACCCATCGATCGAAGGAAACTTCGAAATAGGAAACGGGAGAGAAACGCGAGAAATGGCTCCGCCTCCAGTTTACCAAATCAGTCCTCCTGTACAGTCCTTATGATTTACGACAACATTTACTTTGTTATTCAATTCTGGGTATCAGAGCTTTAAATAGCATAAATGAATGGTATAAATATCAAGTTTACCTTGGACATTTCGCTGCACAACAATTCCAGGATTCGGCCCGGGGAACAGAGATAGTGTCAGACAAAAATACCCCAGGCGTTCCGGACTATAAGTAACCAGGCTTTTGCGGCCAGGCCAAAAGAACCTCGTTCTCAAGTCTCTCTCGTCTTACGTGGTTAGTACTTTATGTAAGACTACGTATAACGCAGCCTCTCAAATAGTTGGAGGGTGTTGGAGGGGTCAGTTGAAGAGGAGTTGAGTGTGGTCCAGTACTGCGACTTAATGTGATTACTGTGGAAAGAGATATGATGAGGATTTCTTTGAACAATGGAAATTGCACGAGAGTTCATTGCTGGTTGGTTTGCAGGTAAGAGCTCCTTCTTCGGCCATCAATCTTTCAGACAAGGACGACGACCGGCGAGGAAATTACCTGAAAAGGTAACAGCAGCGCCACTAGAAGTACGCTGCATACCCGCCCAAAAGGACTTAAAAGTCTAAGTTTTGCCCAGCAAATTACCATTATCGTAGTGATAACGACTATGAACCTGCCAGTTTTGTAAAATGGTAGCACGACGGCGGGGGTGCAGATAGTGAATGAAAGGGTGGAAGGGCGAGTATTTCTCTCTTTCTGTTCTGTTCCTTCCCCTTTTTTCAAACTTTTTTCCTACATGGCCCAGCCACTTACCACAACTAGCATTTGCTTGTTCTGATTGGCTGTGCTCTCTCTATCTGGAATATGTATAAATTTACTAGTGTTCTATCACAAATGCCATTCTCTGATTGCCTTAACGCTACTCGCTGTCTATTCTATTTTAGAATAAATCTGCTAGCGTTCTATCACGAATGCCATTCTCTGATTGGCTATGCTACTCACTATCTATTCTGTTGTAGGTAGTGAGTAGCGTGCTAGTGTGCGCATGCGCTAGTTATGAAAGTGACGGCCGCTTCTTTGCGTTTTCAAAGTGTCTGTGTAGAGGATTTAGATCAAGTTTTGAATGGCTAGACTGGTAGATTTATACTAAAACAATTAGATTATTCTCTCTCGATTTCTACGTGTGGTAGTTCACTTGGGCTTCGCCCTCATCAACTATCATGCGATAGCAATCTCAAGCTCATAATCTAATTGTTTAGTAGCCTAGCAGTGTGCAGTTGTTAACAAAATGATCGCCCTTCTTTGTATTTTGAACATGAGAGTGAAGAGATTTAAGATAAAATTTTGAACAACTTGTAGATTTATGCTAACACAATTAGATTATTTGCTCTTGATTTCTATGTAACAGTTAAATTATGAGCTCGAGATTTCTATCACACATAGAAATTGAGAATGAGTAATCTAATTGTCTTAGTATAAATCTACAAGTCGTTCAAAACTTTATAGATCTGAATCCTCTTCACAGACACTTCGAAGATGCAACGAAGCGGCTGTCATTTTGTTAACTAGCACATATACTGATATGCTACTCACTATCTAAAACAGAACAGATGATGTGTAGCATAGCCAATCAGGGAACAGCAGTGAGTAGCGTAGCCAATCAACAACAACAAAAACAGTAATTATAGTCTGACAGTTAATTTATATATTATTTCACCTTTATACGAGAACAGCAGATTTCTTACTGAGTAGTTTTTGATCTGTACATTGTAGGTTGTGCAGGAGTTGTTGTTTCACAGCCAATGGATACTGTGAAGGTACATTGTAATTGCTGCATTCACCATTTTTTTTAGGAGAATGACATGATTGATCCTTGGAAATGAGGCTAGTGTGAGAAGACACTGCTGTTATGAACTCTCACGGGGTGTGTGCACATGCATGACAGAAATACAGAGCTAGGCAAGGCTGTCCTGAAATCGAAGTGATGTAACAATCTTGTTGCCGGAGGCAACGTTTCCTTTAAATAGTACTAAGAATCAAGAATCAAGTTGGAAGGCGAGGATTATCATTAGTCATAGTGGTTAGGATTAGCATTAGTCATGTTCAGACCAGAACCAGGATTTTGGTTCTAGGTTTTGGAATTTGTCCAGAGTGTCAGATGTTCAGTCACCAATGACCGAAAACATGGTGTCTCTGGGATTGAAATTGAGTGAGGTAATTGATATAATGACGTCAGTGAGCATGTTCCTGCTGCTTCCTTCCCTTCTATCACTGTCATACCCTCAGTGGCCAGATTTCAGGTGTCACATATTTTTTTAGTTGTATCAAGATGGGTTTGTTTTGTGTAAACATTCTTTGTTTAGGGTTTTCTTGTACTCCAGTAGAGACATCCCAGGTGATATATATCACCGTGCACTTCAGTTACTAATAGAAATTGTTCCAACAGTAAGTTTTCCTTGCTCGCAGGTGAGAATGCAAGTTTTGAATGTGGGAACCAAGCAAGGTGCAGGCAATTCATTCTCATGCTTTTTCAACATAGTGAAACATGAAACGGTGAGTTACATGTTCTTGATTGCAGCCAGTATTTCCTCTATCAACTGCCAGAGTGCTTGAATGTGTCAAGTCGTATTCATGACAATTCAATCTTTGAAACAGGGTGACCATGTTTTTGTCAAATAATGTAAAGCAAGAGAGTGTAAAGGGTAAGAAAGTTAGTTTAATGGATCAATACCGGTTTTGAAAATCCCAGGAGAGTCTAAATAGAGCCCATCCTGTGATGTAGATTTTGCTCGTGAACACGGAAACATTCGCACAACATGTGTTGTGACAGAATCCGCGGGAGGACTTGGCACCATGTCTAAAAGAAAAAAGACTTGAGAGGGACTAACTTCAGAATAAAAGCAGTGTAATATTATGATGGACTAACTCTACTGCCCTTCATGATCATGCTCTCTTGTGTAGAGCAATGAGGATAATCAGAAGCACACATACATGTATATAATGGCCCTGAATAAAACATCTACCTCAGTTTTATTGTCTTTGAATATTAAAAGTGAGCTATGGAAAAATGAGAGCATGTTTGGGAGCACTACAGACACTTGAACAATGCAAGCTTTAGACAAGAGTTTCCATTGCAGGACAGCTAAATGGAGCAAATACTATTTCCATGTTTTTTTTTATTGAAAACTTTGTATTGCAGCACTCTATTTTAAATAATCCTTTCACATAAATTGTGCATGTATATCAATGAAGATGGGTTCAGAAGGGGGCGAATTCTCCCCTTTCTGGAGCAGCAAAACAGGACCTGCCTTAATTACCCTCCCCCCCTGCCATTTGAAGGGCCATCTCAATTCCCCACCCCCCCAACCCCTTTTTCCCTCCTTTCTAGTACCTCTGGGTCCTTCGCTGTGTGTTGAACAGTGACTGTGCACAGTTTTAAAACATGTTTTGTTGCCCATTAGGTGTTTGGTTTGTTTAAAGGGATGGCACCACCTCTAGCTGCCGTGGCCCTACAGAATGCCATAATATTTGGAGTGTATGGTAATGTGATAACCATGTTATCTGCTAAGGAGGATGAGAAGACATCACTATCTCATGTTTGCATTGCTGGAGCTGCCTCAGGCGCAGCTCAGGTCTGGGTGGTGTGTCCCATAGAACTTATTAAGATTAAACTACAAATGCAAACTGAAGGTGAGTGATTCCTTTAAATACTATTTAACCGCTTTATGTTCTGCTGAAAACATAGTTAGTAAGCTCTCACTCTAGGGGCTACCAAGATATGTCCCACCCTAAATAGAATTTATTTGGGAGCAGGGATGGCGCAGTGTAGAGGAAGTGTTCTGCTCACNCAGCTAGTAAATCAGAGTTGACTGCCTATTTTCTTTGTAGTTGATAATAACTTTACATGTAAGTACTATTAGTAGCATTGTTATGAACATGACTTTGAATGAAGTCACAACCCAAGACATAATAATTTTTCATTAACAGAGAACTAAAACCAATTATACAGTATTGTAATAAAATTATCATATATAAGTACACTGAAACAAGTGTTATATAATGAATCACACATGCACAAGGTTGTGATGTAAAATTGAAAAGTCTCGCAGACCTTCTCATTATGCCTTGAAATATCAGTTAAAACTACTGTAGCTAGTCACTTTGCCATCTCTTCATCAATTCACCTAATATCTTCATCTCATTGTTCTAGTATCACTCATTTTGTTGTACAAGCAAAGGTACATGTACTTCCTATAGTTTAGACATTCTTTGGACAAAAATGCAGCACAATTACCATGAAAACACCCATCTACTTACAAGCGGTCACAAAACAGTGCACATGTAATTCAAACACCATAGCTTTTGTAAACTTATAAAAAATGGTTTCACCTCATCCATTCACAATGTACATACCTGTTCTAACCCTCCAAGAGCAGGAACTTCTGAAATAGGAATACAACACTGGCTGTGAACAGGAGTCAAAATCAGTCAGTATCATTGAGTTTCTTAGTACAAAAATAAAAACTTAATATTTAGATTGACTTGGAAAACCTGATCATCACAAAAGAAATATTAAGAATTAAATTGTTTCATGACCAAGGAAATCTGCTAGCCTCACATTATTTCATGAAGCCTGATCCATATGGTGAATCAGCATATTTAGAAATCCCATGATATATCAAAAGGCGCAATCATCAACTACGATCCTTTCACAGAGACAAGTTCATTGAGCTTAAGCCAGACAATGAAGCCTATAGAAACTCGTTTTATTGTAGAACCATCAAAGAATGGAACTCATGATTGCCTAGCTAGCAGTGTTTTCGATATAACAAAAACTTCATTATTTAAGATAGCACTTTATTTAGCATAATTAAATTATAGCTACAGGGGGCAGTAAATCTGTACTGCACTGGCCAAACAGCTATTTCAGCCAATACCACCGTCTTGACAATTGCGACTTTTGAACTGCTAGTGATAGTCCCTTATTTCATTTTGGTCTGTGGCAACACACGGAATCTCACAGTTGTAGTCCCATTATTTGCAAGTCAGTGATCAGATCGAATAACCTCTTCTCAAGTTGAAAATCGGAAATGAGCACCCATGCCGTCTTCAAAAATATGATTAACTCGGAGAAAAGTCTGCACTTAAGCTAGTCCTGAACAAAACAAAAGGGGGATCTGGGATATCATCAAAGAACAGAGAACAAAGGACACCGACTACTGGTTCAGTAGAGAACCTGCTGCCGTTTTATACTCAAAAGGTGAGAGAAAAAAAAGGCACTATAAACCACGAGCAGTCTCGTATCCCCCTTCCCTGGATCCGTAGAGGATCAACCCATCGATCGAAGGAAACTTCGAAATAGGAAACGGGAGAGAAACGCGAGAAATGGCTCCGCCTCCAGTTTACCAAATCAGTCCTCCTGTACAGTCCTTATGATTTACGACAACATTTACTTTGTTATTCAATTCTGGGTATCAGAGCTTTAAATAGCATAAATGAATGGTATAAATATCAAGTTTACCTTGGACATTTCGCTGCACAACAATTCCAGGATTCGGCCCGGGGAACAGAGATAGTGTCAGACAAAAATACCCCAGGCGTTCCGGACTATAAGTAACCAGGCTTTTGCGGCCAGGCCAAAAGAACCTCGTTCTCAAGTCTCTCTCGTCTTACGTGGTTAGTACTTTATGTAAGACTACGTATAACGCAGCCTCTCAAATAGTTGGAGGGTGTTGGAGGGGTCAGTTGAAGAGGAGTTGAGTGTGGTCCAGTACTGCGACTTAATGTGATTACTGTGGAAAGAGATATGATGAGGATTTCTTTGAACAATGGAAATTGCACGAGAGTTCATTGCTGGTTGGTTTGCAGGTAAGAGCTCCTTCTTCGGCCATCAATCTTTCAGACAAGGACGACGACCGGCGAGGAAATTACCTGAAAAGGTAACAGCAGCGCCACTAGAAGTACGCTGCATACCCGCCCAAAAGGACTTAAAAGTCTAAGTTTTGCCCAGCAAATTACCATTATCGTAGTGATAACGACTATGAACCTGCCAGTTTTGTAAAATGGTAGCACGACGGCGGGGGTGCAGATAGTGAATGAAAGGGTGGAAGGGCGAGTATTTCTCTCTTTCTGTTCTGTTCCTTCCCCTTTTTTCAAACTTTTTTCCTACATGGCCCAGCCACTTACCACAACTAGCATTTGCTTGTTCTGAATGGCTGTGCTCTCTCTATCTGGAATAAGTATAAATTTACTAGTGTTCTATCACAAATGCCATTCTCTGATTGCCTTAACGCTACTCGCTGTCTATTCTATTTTAGAATAAATCTGCTAGCGTTCTATCACGAATGCCATTCTCTGATTGGCTATGCTACTCACTATCTATTCTGTTGTAGGTAGTGAGTAGCGTGCTAGTGTGCGCATGCGCTAGTTATGAAAGTGACGGCCGCTTCTTTGCGTTTTCAAAGTGTCTGTGTAGAGGATTTAGATCAAGTTTTGAATGGCTAGACTGGTAGATTTATACTAAAACAATTAGATTATTCTCTCTCGATTTCTACGTGTGGTAGTTCACTTGGGCTTCGCCCTCATCAACTATCATGCGATAGCAATCTCAAGCTCATAATCTAATTGTTTAGTAGCCTAGCAGTGTGCAGTTGTTAACAAAATGATCGCCCTTCTTTGTATTTTGAACATGAGAGTGAAGAGATTTAAGATAAAATTTTGAACAACTTGTAGATTTATGCTAACACAATTAGATTATTTGCTCTTGATTTCTATGTAACAGTTAAATTATGAGCTCGAGATTTCTATCACACATAGAAATTGAGAATGAGTAATCTAATTGTCTTAGTATAAATCTACAAGTCGTTCAAAACTTTATAGATCTGAATCCTCTTCACAGACACTTCGAAGATGCAACGAAGCGGCTGTCATTTTGTTAACTAGCACATATACTGATATGCTACTCACTATCTAAAACAGAACAGATGATGTGTAGCATAGCCAATCAGGGAACAGCAGTGAGTAGCGTAGCCAATCAACAACAACAAAAACAGTAATTATAGTCTGACAGTTAATTTATATATTATTTCACCTTTATACGAGAACAGCAGATTTCTTACTGAGTAGTTTTTGATCTGTACATTGTAGGTTGTGCAGGAGTTGTTGTTTCACAGCCAATGGATACTGTGAAGGTACATTGTAATTGCTGCATTCACCATTTTTTTTAGGAGAATGACATGATTGATCCTTGGAAATGAGGCTAGTGTGAGAAGACACTGCTGTTATGAACTCTCACGGGGTGTGTGCACATGCATGACAGAAATACAGAGCTAGGCAAGGCTGTCCTGAAATCGAAGTGATGTAACAATCTTGTTGCCGGAGGCAACGTTTCCTTTAAATAGTACTAAGAATCAAGAATCAAGTTGGAAGGCGAGGATTATCATTAGTCATAGTGGTTAGGATTAGCATTAGTCATGTTCAGACCAGAACCAGGATTTTGGTTCTAGGTTTTGGAATTTGTCCAGAGTGTCAGATGTTCAGTCACCAATGACCGAAAACATGGTGTCTCTGGGATTGAAATTGAGTGAGGTAATTGATATAATGACGTCAGTGAGCATGTTCCTGCTGCTTCCTTCCCTTCTATCACTGTCATACCCTCAGTGGCCAGATTTCAGGTGTCACATATTTTTTTAGTTGTATCAAGATGGGTTTGTTTTGTGTAAACATTCTTTGTTTAGGGTTTTCTTGTACTCCAGTAGAGGCATCCCAGGTGATATATATCACCGTGCACTTCAGTTACTAATAGAAATTGTTCCAACAGTAAGTTTTCCTTGCTCGCAGGTGAGAATGCAAGTTTTGAATGTGGGAACCAAGCAAGGTGCAGGCAATTCATTCTCATGCTTTTTCAACATAGTGAAACATGAAACGGTGAGTTACATGTTCTTGATTGCAGCCAGTATTTCCTCTATCAACTGCCAGAGTGCTTGAATGTGTCAAGTCGTATTCATGACAATTCAATCTTTGAAACAGGGTGACCATGTTTTTGTCAAATAATGTAAAGCAAGAGAGTGTAAAGGGTAAGAAAGTTAGTTTAATGGATCAATACCGGTTTTGAAAATCCCAGGAGAGTCTAAATAGAGCCCATCCTGTGATGTAGATTTTGCTCGTGAACACGGAAACATTCGCACAACATGTGTTGTGACAGAATCCGCGGGAGGACTTGGCACCATGTCTAAAAGAAAAAAGACTTGAGAGGGACTAACTTCAGAATAAAAGCAGTGTAATATTATGATGGACTAACTCTACTGCCCTTCATGATCATGCTCTCTTGTGTAGAGCAATGAGGATAATCAGAAGCACACATACATGTATATAATGGCCCTGAATAAAACATCTACCTCAGTTTTATTGTCTTTGAATATTAAAAGTGAGCTATGGAAAAATGAGAGCATGTTTGGGAGCACTACAGACACTTGAACAATGCAAGCTTTAGACAAGAGTTTCCATTGCAGGACAGCTAAATGGAGCAAATACTATTTCCATGTTTTTTTTTATTGAAAACTTTGTATTGCAGCACTCTATTTTAAATAATCCTTTCACATAAATTGTGCATGTATATCAATGAAGATGGGTTCAGAAGGGGGCGAATTCTCCCCTTTCTGGAGCAGCAAAACAGGACCTGCCTTAATTACCCTCCCCCCCTGCCATTTGAAGGGCCATCTCAATTCCCCACCCCCCCAACCCCTTTTTCCCTCCTTTCTAGTACCTCTGGGTCCTTCGCTGTGTGTTGAACAGTGACTGTGCACAGTTTTAAAACATGTTTTGTTGCCCATTAGGTGTTTGGTTTGTTTAAAGGGATGGCACCACCTCTAGCTGCCGTGGCCCTACAGAATGCCATAATATTTGGAGTGTATGGTAATGTGATAACCATGTTATCTGCTAAGGAGGATGAGAAGACATCACTATCTCATGTTTGCATTGCTGGAGCTGCCTCAGGCGCAGCTCAGGTCTGGGTGGTGTGTCCCATAGAACTTATTAAGATTAAACTACAAATGCAAACTGAAGGTGAGTGATTCCTTTAAATACTATTTAACCGCTTTATGTTCTGCTGAAAACATAGTTAGTAAGCTCTCACTCTAAGGGCTACCAAGGTATGTCCCACCCTAAATAGAATTTATTTGGGAGCAGGGATGGCGCAGTGTAGAGGAAGTGTTCTGCTCACTGGCCTCTCACCAACGTGGCCTGGGTTTTATTTCGGTTTGATGCCATATGTTGTTCTCTGGGTACCCCATTTTCCCTTCCTCCTATGTTTTCCATGTCTTGCCTGGTAACAGGTCCTACATGAAAACCAGCTATGGCTAATTTTCCTTCCTCTCTAAATATGGCAATATTCATTTACTTATTTTTCTTTTATTGAGCTGCTCAAGTTTAGTTTGAAAATAAGTTGTATGTAGATGCTGCCTTCTTTTAAGTTGTAATAATGACATTTCTGTGAAATACATGTAACAAAAATTAGAAACTTGGTTTCGTCAACTAAAAGAATAATGACTTACAATTGGTTTACATCATGTAAATCATTGGTACCTTATCAGGGTTGCCACAGGTCAGGAAATGGTCAGGGAAAGAAAAAATTCATCAAGGTCAGAAAACATTAACATTTTGAAGAAAAGTCAGGGAAAATTGAAATAACTTAACATGGCTGATATAGTACCATTGTAAGCTGGAAGAAACATTTGGGGTCACTGTGATCACAACGATATTTTTACTTCACGAAGAAGGAAAATTTGTTGAAAACTTATTAGTGAGATATAATAGCGGCTAGAAGCCGCTATTATATCTGACATTTTGAATTTATTTGGTCAGGGAAATGTTATTTTTATCAGGGAAAAGTCAGGAAATTTTGAAAAGTTATGCCTGTGGCAACCATGTTATCGTAACTTTCGAAATAATAGCGAGGCAAGCGCAGGTTGCATGAAACATGCGATGGTCACGTCGCCCTCACCAGACAAATTACAAATACCTTGTTACTTCAGCGGTTGCAGAGAATAGAGCAAAGTCCTACGTATAGTTTCTACAACAACCTAATGTTGAAGCAAGTGTTTCTATACAACCGGGTTTAAGCTAAGAGAGGGAAAAAGACGAAACGTTGCCATTTGTAGCTGTATCATCTGATATTACTCAGTAACCTTGTCCCAGGGTGTCCAGGAAGTAATGAAATTCTGGGAGCGAGGCACATGTGGCAGTCAACTTTGCCGCGTAAAACTATCCTGCTTACTGTGTTTGTCCTTCTCTGGAACGAGGAACGCATGCGCATTCCAGAGAGAACGGCCAGCTATCGCCTGCACTATTTTATGACCTTCCCCAAAGTACAATTTTTGACAATTAAACGATTTGCTTCTCCATAGTTTTTGCTGTTGTTTTTTGTTTGCTTGTTGTTGTTGTATTTTTCTGTTGTTGCTTGTCGATGTTAATTTTCTTAAGATCATTGTATAACTTTTTTTTACCGGCAGTGAAGCGAACCACTTCCACACGCTACCGTGGTGCCATAGACTGCATTCGCAAGATTTACAGCACATCTGGAAGCAGGGGGCTTTTTCAGGGAATAACCCCGCTCCTTTTCCGAGATATCCCTGGCTATGTCACCTACTTTGGATCATACGAAATCCTACTAGATTTACTGGCACAGAAAAAGTCACGTACTGAAGTAGGACCGCTGGCCACAGTTTTTGCAGGCGGTTTTGCCGGCATGATCGCTTGGGCTTCGACTTTTCCGTTTGACGTGATAAAGTCGCGCATGCAAGCGGATGGAAATGGTGGAACTTTCCTGTACAAAGGAGCAATTGATTGTTTTGTAAAAAACTACAAGACAAGCGGCCTAAGAGGTTTATTCTCCGGCCTTGGACCTACTCTACTGCGAGCCTTTCCCACTAATGCAGTCATTTTCTATGTGTATAGCTTGGTTTCGGATTTGTTTAAAGAGAGCCCTTTAACATTGACTACAGACATGGACTGAAAAATCAGTCGATACAAAGATATTTTTTGAAATATATGATTCCTTTGTTTTTAAATTTACGCTACGTCTTATCAGTTTCAACAGACCCCTCAAGCATGTAATGCTTTTATTCTCATCGTGTTCAAATAAAGGATCTTACTTACTTTCTGGTTATTAAATTTTTAAGGTGTGCAGGACGCGCTCACCCTGCGAGCAGAGCCTGTTTTATCTCCCGTTTGCTTTATCTTTCATTACAAAGCATATCTACCGTAAGATAAGGCTCTGCTTGCGGGGTGGATGTGCTAATCAGCAGAAAAAAAAAAATTAGCTCAGTATAATTTCTATCACAACCGGGGAAAGCAGTGCCAGTTGAAGGAGAGCTTCATCAAAACACTGCAAAACGTTTCTTACTTCGTTTCTTACTAATCAAAACTGGCGTGCGAGTACTCTGAACTCTGAATATGTTTAACATCCCGCTTTAATACGGTAACGTTTGGAAAGCATCCTATTCAGTTAAGAATCTTGGGCTGGCCTTATGGCACCGTCTAGCTAAGGATACAAGAAATATAACCAATCTGAATCATTTCAAGAGGTTAGCAAGGCCGAAGGATCTTTCGACCTTAGTAATAAATACGGATCTGCCAGTTTTATTTCTAGATCGTAGATGGGTTATTCCAATATAATTTTTGTAGAAATTTCTTAGAGTTTTGTCTACAGATATATAACTTGTACTTAATTATTTACTCTATATATGCTGTGTCTCCAACTAGCATTTGTGGTTAAGTGTTTTGACACGTAATTTCATTTCATTTCATCCACGCACGAGTACTCAGTCCTAAAATCAAAGACTCTACAAGTGCTTTCATTGAAGTTGATTTTTTTTTAAAATCAACTTCAATGAAAGCACTTGTAGAGTCTTTGATTCTGTTTTCTTGTCCTCTGATCCCTAAACCAATCCAAACCATGCACTTGAATGTAGCAAAAAAAATTCTTATTCACTGCGATTTCAAATATTCTCAGTTTAGTGGAGGATTTTTTTTTTTTTTAAATTCTCAGTTAAAACGCGATTCTAGTGTTTCAGCGACAAGAGTGCCGCGTGTTATGCTGTAGGTCTAATCTTCAGTTAGCTTAAATGGTAATCTTGTAAGCTGGAATGACAATCCGATACTAATGATAAGAGCGAGAATATAGCATCAATCACTAAATCTTCGTGTAAGCCGAATAAAATGTCTTGTCGAAGATTTCAAAACAAAGACGATGCTGATGGTGTCGCGTGTTCGACAGTAATGCTAGGTTGTAATCTTGTTTGATGGTGATCTCGGGATTATGCATTTTAATTAACGGTTTGAGCTTCAAATAAGCCGGGAGCCTAAAGAAGGGAATGTGACACTTGCCTCAAGACCAACGTAGTAGATATCTCCTTTCATCGTGTTAGGCTCGATTTCCGTGGCTCGCGCGGGTCCGGTGGCGTGTTCTCAAAACTGCACGAATACATGTTTTAATCTGGTGATCTTAACAACTACATTTGACGGGTTATGGTAAACAGGTCATTTTTCGTTTTTTTTGGGCGGGGGGGTGTTAGTTTTCTCTAACTAGTGTGATCATGGCTTTATATGTTGGGTAACCTTAGCGTCTAAACACAGGTTATATGTTGCGGTGAAAAGAAAAAAAAAAAGCGTTTTCACGTGCCGTGATTGTACTTTGTTAGGGGTGGGGGAAGGGTTAATGAAAGGCAGTGAAAGCTGCTGCCCCTCGTCATGTCATAAGCACGAGCCCATCTTTCACATATCAAGTCACCGACGTACGCTACTAAACAGTAACTGTTCACAACTATATTTTTTCCTGTTTAGGCCATGGTATTTGAAGTTTATCGTGAAGCTCGAGACAGGCCGAAGATATGCCGAGTAGCTTCCGAAGATTCGGAAAGCCATTTAAACCGTTTTCGATTGAAGATCACTATTTATTTATGTCTGTGTTTATGTCGCTGTTTTTATCTCCAGTGGGGGCATGGTTGGCATAAGCATAAGCATATAAAGTGAAAGAGTTTCAGTCAATCATTTAGCTCTTCATGCTAATGCCGCGAAGGTCGACACCACTGAACATACCAGTGACATAACCATATAAGCATAAGAAGATCGTTTATGCTTTCGTCGCAGCCGTCCCCACTCGCGAATAACCTTATGCTTATGCTTGCGTCACAAGTGAGGACCGGGCTTTACTAAAAAGCGCGCGCGAAATTGAGTTCTGACCACAGGGAGCACACAATCTTGTTGAATAGGAAGAGAGTAGCTAAAGGAATGAAAAGAACGAAAAGTTTACCTTTGTCTCCTGTTATTTCTTATGCGACCTTACAGGGAAAACCGCTACCTACAAGTCCTGATTAAAACTGTAGTGCTAAACTCGTACTTAGGCCTTTTTGCGCTCTGCAATTTTTTTTTTTTTTTTTGGTTTACATATGAGTTTAGCACTACAATGTATGGTCGCGTAAGAAGTAACATCAGGAGATATAGGTAAACTATTCGTTCTTTTCATTCCTTTATTTACTCTCCCTATTCAACAAGATTGTGTGCCCCCTGTGTTCTGACCGTGCCCCAGCTGCAGACATGCGTGCAGATGTGCGGCATCCGGCCAACACAGGAAGGAACTCGGTTGTCGACCGCACGTATTCGTTACCTTTATGTCTTCCAGATATTCTCAGAACTAAAACAGGGAAAAATGTAGCGAAGAAGGAAAACGAAAAAACAAAACAAAATAGGCGTGTTGTCGGGTAATGCAGGCAAAGCTGAAGCCGATTTTTGGGCGTCCAAAAGGACTCGAGCAATGAAGCAACAGATTTGCAAGCCTGAGACATTCATTTGATTCTCTATGTTAAGTGGCGTGTTGTTTTTTCATTTTTATTTTTATTTCGCGCGACGGTTTGCGGTAAATTTACCAATCAATTAATTACTTAGTTCAGGCTGCCCTATAATCCTTCACTAAATTATGTAATAAGCTTAACCAAGAGAAGTTCTCTTGGTTAATTGACTCTTGAGATCAGGCGAATATGTTTGCGAAGATATTTCGATCACCGGCGAGAAACAGAAACTGTTTGAGAAAGACCAGAAGGTCTCGGAAAGTTTTTTTTTCTGTTTTCATTCCAAAGTATCGCGATTTTCGATTTGATCGCGTTTTTCAAGATCGATGTGCGATTGGAAGAACTGTATCAAGTTGGCAATGTTGCAATTGTAGCCATTTCCTTCTAACTTTTGTTAAAAAAAGTACCCGAAGGACGAAATCGTTGATTTTAATTCATCACCAGCTAGCGCTTATCATAAATTCACCGATTTTAACGCGGAAAACTGGACAAAATCGTTCCCTATTTCTGACTTCCGGTATATATGAGTACTCCCCCCTCACCTGTAGAAATGTAACAGAGCGGTAGATAAGTCGTTTCTGATAGTATGATAAACTAAACTATTTTGATAGTATATTATGAAAAAAAAAAAAAATTGGTCTCCTTTCTTGTCGCACGTGGTCTTTTGTGTTCACGGCACGTGCGCAGGTGAGTCAGCTGTTTTTATGTCTCGTTTCTTTGCCCACTTGTAAAACTACGCTCCAGTATCAGGTGAATCTGTCGCAAACTTGACACCTTATTTATCGTATATCAGAGATAAGCAAAAACATGTTCAACGGCTAGTTCTGCCAGGGTCATTAAAAAGCGAAGAGGTTTCGAAAACGCCGGAAACTCGTGAACAACTTTTATCCGCGATTAGCCAATCAAAAACAGATCTGGCTAATGACATCACTTCCGCTGATGCTTTCCCTATTGATACAACGATCGGTGTGTTGTAGTTTCCCTTTATAGCTGGGACCGTTTCGTCTATCCTCTAGGAATTATATCAGCAATATATTTTAGTACAAGCGTGTGGCCTGCTGGGAATAACAGATGGAAAGCAACGAAAGAAAATTGCTGATGGAGGACGCTGAGAGCAGACTAATTAAATGTGTGATTGTTGGAGATGGCGGAGTTGGGAAAACGTCTCTCCTTATAAGCTATTTAGTGAACGGATTTCCTAACGATTACGTCCCAACCGCTTTCGACGACTACAGCGGTTTGTAAAGATTATGAATGACTTCTTTATATCCTAATATCTGCGGTGTAATGGAATTCCCGAGTCATTTATTATTTATTTTGTTATTTTAGTGTCGGTTAAAGTCGACAAGATACCCTATACGTTGCAGTTTTGTGACACGGCTGGACAGGTAAGCTTTTTTTCATAAACTCGTTTATTTACAATTAATTCCCCGTGAAACTCCTGGTTATATTTATTTCTCATGAGTCTTCGAATAGTGAGACGATGTTACGTGTCAATACCAAATGGCGTGCAATACTTGAGAAACTCAAGCTTTCGTGTGCAGGAAATTCAATAAGTCGGTTGACAATCTATTTAACAGTAATAACATTACCGTTTCGCTTGAATAAGCGTTTATTTTCCTCCTCATGGATTTAACGCTCAATTAAGCTGGCAGCTGAGCGAAGTTCAGATAATATCGATCGTCCACTAAAATTGTTTCACAACAAGACACTTTTTACAAGCAAGAATTCACAATCGATAGAATTGTTTACATTATAGAAGTGTTTTAAATATAATTTGCAGTACACGCTAACTACTTGCTGAAAAACTGTTTGTTCTTTTGATAATTTCAGGAGGACTTCGACTCATTACGACCTCTTTGTTATCCATCTACCGACGTATTTATTGTTTGTTTTTCTGTAGTTTCGCCGACGTCTTTCGCAAATGTCGCACAAAAGTGGCTTCCTGAAATACGAGGTTATTCTTCTAGCGTTCCTGTTATTCTTGTTGGAACGCACTGTGACTTAAGAGCGAATGTTCAAGAGCTTATTCGGCTTTCTGATCTCGGACAAGAACCTATAACGGCACAGAAGGCCGAGAGCTTAGTGAAGAAAGCTGGTATTGTATGTTATATTGAAACATCGGCAGTGACTCAAAAAAACATGAAATCCGTCTTCGATGAAGCAATTATGAGCGGATTAAGACCACCTACGTCTTCTAAAAGATCTGACCTCAAAGGCTGCGCGTGTACTATCATGTGATAAGCTTTTGATGTGATTATTTAATTATCAAGTTTCTGGTTTGACGCAATTTTGCGATTCAGCGAGATGAAACGAATTGATCATTGCAGCCGTATGCAGCGCGTGCCTCAGCGGACAGGAATATGATAAAAGAGTTGTTATTTATAAAGTCCACCGGCGCTCCTCGTTGCACAGATGCGTTCAAAGCGGACCTCAAAGGGGACATAAAATTTGTCATTGGAATCTCCTGTGGTGCAGGAAGAAGGGAAACAAATGATATTATTTATAGAGAGCAATATTAAGACCATGAGTAGCTGGTTTAAAAGAATTTAGTATTTGCTGATTTTAAAATGCTAATATTTTTTAGTAACAATGGAATAAATAAATTTAAAAAAATTGAATGTGGCATGGTGGAATTGGCATTACTTGTAATGAGAGATATGATATAGAGGTTAAATGTAGTCAATAGTGTGAATGTTGCTAGATCGATTTACTCAAAGGATCTAGATTTGATTAAAATAACCATGACAAGAAGAGGGCTCACACTGTGCTGAGGCCAACAGGGTTGTCAAAAGTAGGCCGGCCATTCTACTGGGCTATTCATCTGATTCTTCAAAAAGATAGCAAAATTAGCCACCTACTCTAGCAATAAAGCTGCCTACTTCTGACAATACTTTGTGCCACCCTGGGCCAAAAATGAACTTTCTGAGTACATTAAACACTCTACATACCCCAAGAGAATTAACATCTCTTCTAAATTATTAAGTTCATCAAGTGGTCTGGGTTTGAGCCATGGCTACTAAGGCACACTGTGTTGTGTTCTTGCACAAGATAATTTACTCTCACAGT